GTGCAAGAATTGGGACTGATCTGCATCTAGCACCTCACCTGGCCCTCTGCGTGTTTCCAAGGCCTGTAAATGAGATCAACTGGGAATACATCCATGCCAAGCCCCCTCTGGATGCCATATACCACAGTCTGAAGCCCCTTGCTGTCACGAATCAGGAACCCAGGATGGTCAAGCTCGTATGTCACTTCCTTGAAGTTCAAGTTGGGATTCTGCAGATGAAATTAAGTCTTGTTATCTGAACACAGGGTAACAAAAATGCCAACACAAAACAGACAAGGATGAGACCATGATCCAGGTACAACTCACCAGCTCCTTCACTACATCAATGAGAACCTCTACGTTCCAGGTGTGGGCCTGCACTCCATCGTTCTTGTCCTTGCCATCACTCCAGATGCCACTGCCAGGGGCGGAGATCGACTGCAAGCCAAAAAAAAAAAAAAAAACAAAAACTTAACTGCTGACAACTCTCTTACCATTTTGAGTGCTGCAGAATACTTGACTGACCTGTAAAGCGATGCCATCTGTGAGCCCAGAATGTGTCCGTGCCATCATCCCCAGGACCCGAGCGACCTGCACCGCAGTCACTTCCCGGACACCAAACTGGACGATGATATTGCGGCATTCTTCCACACTGTGGTAGAAATGACAGGACAAGGATACATGAATCGTGTCAAGTATTCTGTATCCTCTAAAGGATTACAAAACGGTAACCGCTATTATCTGCCATGCCCAACAGTAATATGAGCTTACAGTGAAGTTTTACTGATGGCACCAGCGGAGGACAACAATCCCGGTGGAACCCATGTGGTCAAACTCCTTTAGCACCTCATATGAAAACTATTGGGATTAGTGACCAGACCCAACTGTGCCTTCCTGCCACATATTCGCACTAAATGTTTAACCTATTATGGCAGCCGAGTGGAGCACTGCTATCCTGGAGTGGATGTCATATGGACGGCCTCCCAGGATTGGGCCGCAGCGGATGACAGATCAGTGTACCAGGCCGCTGCTACCATGTGATCACTGTGACCAACCACAGGAGATCACATTTCAAATGGTACACAATGAATGGCTTCCATTCATTGAGTTCTATTGTGTGGATCTCTGCGATTGGTCGCAGTAATCATATGGTACAAACAGGGCCAATCACAGTGTATCTGTATCATGTGAAAGTTATGGCCAATCGCACAAGTACTCAATGGATAAAGCAATGTCATTCATGAAGGACCAAAAATGGTTGCTTATTACAGTGATAAAAAAAAAAAAAAAAAAAAAAAAAAAAACACCCCCCCCCTCACAAAACCTTGATCGCCTCTCCCATAGTACAGTGTCACTGATCAGAGCAACAGTGTTAAGAGTAAGGGGGGAAAAAAAAAATTATATATTACATATTATATACACACACACACAATCTTACAGAAGTGAGCACACCCCTCACAATTTTGTAAATATTTTATATTTGATTCTATCTTTTCATGTGACAACACTGAAGAAATGACACTTGGCTACAATGTGATGTAGTGAGTGTACAGATTGTATAACATGTAAATTTTTGCTGTCCCCTCAAAATAACACAGCCATTAATGTTTAAACCGCTGGCAACAAAAGTGAGTACACCCCTAAGTAACAATGTCCAAATTGCGCCCACTACTTTTATCTTGTAGCAAAGTGTTCTTTCTTCTGTGTTGTCACATAAGATAAAATATTTTAAAAAATGTATGGTGTGGACTCACTTCTGTAAGATACTGTATGTGTGTATATACACACACGAGAGGCACAACGGTCATTAATCATAGTGCATATCAACCAGACCCTCCCTACCTAGAGGCCATATAAAAAAAAAAAAAAAAAAAAAAAAAAAAAAAAAAGAAAAGAAAATGGATTGCTACACTTGAAAATCTGTGAATGGGCAAACATTAAAAATCAGCAGGGGATCACACACCTCTTACAATTCTGGGTAGGGGGCATGCGCCGCCCTTGACGGCTACAGATGTCTTTTTCCGGGTAGGGGAATGCGCATGCACCACCCTTGGCGGCTACAAATCTTTTTTTTTTTTTTTGTTTACAACACAAAAAAAAAAAAAAAACCCACACGTGAATGGGGGTAAATCCTCTGGAGGACAAGTGATTAAAAGAGAAGAAGGGTTTTTTTTTTTTTTTTTTTTTTTTTTTAATGCTTTATCCTATTCCCTGTGAGAATGAGAATACATAAAAACTTACCAGCCCTCTGAGAAGTGCACCCTGTTAACATCAAGGTAAATACCTGTGGAAGGGACATCAGTCTTCTCAGGATTCTCATGCCGACAAACTTGTCTGGATCCACCTCCTTTCCTTCTCCTGTGTTTGACTGATGTCAGATCTGGGCTGTCTGCTCTCACACACAACACACAGCTCACAGCAGTTTTTATCTGGGGAACTTTACATGTCAGAACTGCGAATAGCAGGCAGCTAACTGGTGTGCAGATCTAAGGTGTCTGTAAGAGAATTGATCTGAGCTGTGTGTTGTGAGAGGAGGAGGGAGAGAGCAGACTGCCCAGACCTCACATCAAGGAGAAGCAAAGGAGGTGGATCCAGACAATACTGTCAACATAACAATCCTGAGAAAATTGAAGCCCCTCCCACGGGCATTTACCTAGACCGTAACAGAAAGGGTGCAGAGGGCTGGAAAGATTTTTTTGTATTAGCAGCTCACCGGGAATAGGATAAAGACAGAGACACCTCTTTTAAAAAATTGTAATAAAGAAAAAACCCTCACCATGGCTAGTATATGTACTGTCCTGGCATTTTCAGGCCTCAAGAAATTAGGTCAACGATGTGATCAGCACAGGGCCAATCACCACTGTCCACAGGGACAGGTGTCATACAGCCTTATAGGACAGTCAGAGGAAAATGAAAACTCCTCCTTCAAGATTTAACCAGTACTCAGTCAGACACTGATCGAAGTCACAAGACTGCTATATACTTCTAATGAGAAAAGGTCTTTAGCAGTTTATATTTACTAAAAATGCCATTTCCAGATTCTGTGTACTGTGGGAGACCAGATATAGTGAATGCAGGGTCCGGGGTTTATTAACATAAGTATGCTATAAGCAAGTATTTGGCATTTTGCACAGTAAAGCAGGGACTAGCCAGAGGGCAATCACAGATGCAATTGGCTAACCTGAACAAGCATTGCATCATATAAAATGGGCGAACAGCAGTGTAAATCAGAATCTTCAATGCAAACCCACCTGGAACAGAAGCTGTAGCCCACTTCCTGCATGAAGTCTGCCAAGGAACTGTCCATCATGGTCTTAGTTATCCCTCCAGAATCAGATAAAATCCGGTCCATTAGGATGTCCCGTTTTTCAGGGTAGAGAAGTGGTGCAAGCACCACCGGACAGCGCTCCTGGGGGAAATCTGAGAGAGGGGGAGAGGGGCAATACTATAGTAAACAATTCAGCAACAGATGAATATTTGGACAAACACTTCTACAGAGCAGAGGACATAAATGAGTGGAATGCACTGCACCCACTGCTCACCCATCAACAGGGCCAACTCCTTACACCAGATATGTATAGGGTAGAACACTGCCCTGCACCCTTGAAACAGGCTGTATAGGATCTGTGTGCATATAGCTTGTCCCTCTCCATATGGAGTGGAGCCCACTTCCCTCTGCCCATCTCTACAGCACTCACCTCTGCGCAGGGTTTTAAGAAATGCAACAATCTGCTCCTGTCCCACCCCGAAGGCTCCTTTCTGGCCGAACAGGAGATTGGAGAGGAGGAGGTGCAGGACCTCTATGGCAATGTCCTGGAATCCACCTTCTTGGCTGCCACTAACGTCCACGTCAACGTAGGAACGCAAGAGATCAGGTAACTTCTGCTTCACAAACTGTGCAGCTGTAGGAACAAGGCAGAGTTTAGCTATAGAAATCCACCCAGAGCAAGAATTCCATCCTGCTATACAGGATGAGGATGATGGAACGCTTACCAAAGCCCCGCAGGTCGCTGTTGCAGGAGTTCAGAAGAGCCAAGCCAAAGATCACCTAAATATGAGGGGAAGAGTTAGAGGGGTTTTGTCAGCTAAACACACCCTCCCGCCTGCATGCGTTAAGGGCAGAGGGATTCTGGGAAGTAAAAGCTACATGAAAATAGAACTATAGGCAAAACTCCCCCCCCCACTTTGGATAGAACAAGGGAACCCGTCAATTTTTACGCCATCTGTGTCCCATTGCGGAGATTTTTCTTGATTTCCTGACCCATAGCCAAACAGGAAGTGAAAGCAAATCACTGCAAATTAAAAAAGGGAAGTCTTCAGGGACCCCCAGGTCTCCAGACCTAGTGTCCCCCATTGGAAGCATTGTGCTATAGGAATTGCACATCCCTGGCAGCCCAAAAATACAAATCCACATAAACAAGTGTAAACAATGCAGCGCTAATAATAAAACTGGATAAGTAGCTGGATATTATCCAAATAAAGTGCTCAAAAAACATGCTTGATATCAAAGAGAAAATACTTAGTGAATACTTCGTAAATAACCACCATGTGAAATTATTAATGTTCAGTGATTTGAATATTAATTATGTCCAGATATATAATGAATAAATAGATAGAAGCAGTCCCAATAAAGTAATAAAGTGCAAGAAATTCGGATATGAACTAATAAATCTTGTTGTCTCAGTAGCATATAAACAGATATTCCGGTGGCATGCAGGGTATGGTAAAAATGCACACTCACCGGATGCGCATGCGCAGTGTATAAATATGTTGTGGTCTGCCCAAGGTCCCCTTTAGGATGGGATGAAATACAGCCCGGTCTGGATATCTCTCCCCTGGAGCCTGGGGTGGTTAGAAGTCAGCCAGAGGGCCCCTTTAGGTGGGATGGAATACAGCCTGGTGTGGATATCCCTCCTTTGGACACTGGGGTATGCACCCGGGATCCTGGAGATTTAAAGGCTGTTTAAATTTGGGATGGGAAGAGTCCTGCAGTAACTGTAAGATCACCCCTTCACTTGTGGTTAGAAAAGCTCCACTTTGCTTAAGGCGGTTAAGAGCCACAAGTCGGTAAACCTGACTGCAAGATGAGCGTCAGCTACAACATGGACAGCAAAGCCCGTTTCCAGAAGATCCAATGTGGTTCTCGTAATGCTGGCCTGTCTCTCAATGCTGCAGAGAATAATAGAACGTCTCTCAGGAAAGGACTGGAGTTCCGTCTCCACTTCTGGGATCAATATAGTGAAGCAAGTCTTGGGAGTATTTCTTGATGCCATCAGTTCCGAGCTCTGGCACGGTGGGACCAAGTCCCAAGAACAGCTTTGTAGCTGCGGTGTGATACCGGAAGTGTGCAGGTGACGTGCGGTGAAGGCTGGCAACATTTTAGAGATACCAGTTATAGGTGACTGAACAATACCCTAAAGGACTTGGTCCCACCGTGCCGGAGCTGGGAACTGATGGCATCAAGAAATACTCCAAGACCTGCTTCACTATATTGATCCCAGAAGTAGAGAAGGAACTCCATTCCTTTCCTGAGAGACGTTCTATTATTCTCTGCAGCATTGAGACACAGGCCTGCATTACGAGTACCACATTGGATCTTCTGGAAAAGGGCTTTGCTGTCCATGTTGTAGCTGACACTTGCTCATGTCGCAGTCAGGTGGACCGACTTGTGGCTCTTAACCGCCTTAAGCAAAGTGGAGCTTTTCTAACCACAAGTGAAGGGGTGATCTTACAGTTACTGCAGGGCTCTTCCCATCCCAAATTTAAACAGCCTTTAAATCTCCAGGATCCCGGGTGCATACCCCAGTGTCCAAAGGAGGGATATCCACACCAGGCTGTATTCCATCCCACCTAAAGGGGCCCTCTGGCTGACTTCTAACCACCCCAGGCTCCAGAGGAGAGAGATCCAGACCGGGCTGTATTTTATCCCATCCTAAAGGGGACCTTGGGCAGACCACAACATATTTATATACTGCGCATTTAAAATGCGCATCCGGTGAGTGTGCATTTTTACTATAACCCGCACGCCACCGGAATATCTGTTTATATGCTACTGAAACAAGATTTATTAGTTCACATCCGAATTTATTCATTATATATCTGGACATTATTAATGTTTATTCAGTGATTTGAATATTAATTATTCCACATGGTAGTCATTTACTAAGTATTCACTAAGCATTTTATCTTGATATCAAGCAAGTTTTTTGAGCACTTCATTTGGATAATATCCAGCTACTTATCCAGTTTTATTATTAGCGCTGCACTTTTTACACTTGTATCAGTTTTTTAGAAGGTATATGGTTCCTTTTAGTGTAACACCTGCTTCCATTATTAAGCGCTCGCTGAGTCCCCGTCTTATACAAATCCACATATGTTTACTAGTCACTGTATTACAGCACTGCCCTAGAAGTATACCCTAAAATTAAATATTCAGAACCAAATACAGGTGAATAAAAGTAGAACAGTGTTTAAAACACTCCCAAAATCCATGCAAAAAATTTAATTCGTACGTTATTTTATTCATGTAAATGCGTACACCCCAACACATGTCAAAGAACCTTTAATTTCCTTTCAGAATCAACATTTTCTATGGGACACTATAATACCAAATACTCCCACAAATGCGGGCCATTGATTGCAGACAAGATTTGTTCATTTGCGCACACACACACACACACAAAAAAAAAAAAAAAAAAAATTTCTCCTAAAATTCATTCAAGACCATGTTGGAAAAATTAATACACCCCGATAAAAATCTTAGGAGCAAAAGCAAAATTTTAGACAACAAAATCATAACAAGAATTCAGCTACAGATGAATCTAATTATTCAATAAACAGGTGTATAGCAAACAAGTGATTATAAAAGGGCGTTACTTAACCGCTTTCGGGCCGCCTGCCTGCAATAAACTGTGGACAGGAGGCATCAGCAGGACCAGTGACATACCTTTACATCATAGTTTCCTTCCGCTTTGGAGCGCACATGCGCCCCCCCCTTTCCTGTCATTAGCTGTAAGAGATCAGAACAGGTCACAGCCACTGATTTTGGCCGGGACTCTAGATCTCCTACAGTGAATGGAGAAGCAGAGCTGTGCCTGTATTTGTAAAAACAGGCATAGTATCTAGCTGGATCTTCTCTCCCTGGAACCATTTTGTCATAGATTGCAGAGATTTCTTAATCCACATCGATCGATGTGAATGGAGGAATCTGTTAAGATCTCCTTTCATTCAGCCCACAGGATGCATGAAAAAAACAAAACAAAAATAAAAAAAACATTACATATATGCTCAGCAAGGACCAGTTATGTACTGGTATGTCAGTGGACTGAATGGTTATACCAGGATGATTCCTGCAGCATCATCCTGGTACTTTTTTCTCACCGAATGTCAACTTTGATGTAAAAGCAATCCTAGTGGCTAATTAGCCACTGGACTGCTTATAGAAGCAGCAGGATTGTGCTATCCTGAAATTTCAGTCATTGAAACTAAGAAAGGTAGTGAGGAAGGGAAATGTGGAAATTAAAACACCATCAAGCTTTCAAAGGGGTCACTGGATTTCAGGCTCCTGTATACAACTAGGCTGCCAAAAGGTCTCTCACATGTGGTATCCCCATACTCAGGAGAAGTAAATAGAATATATTTTGGGGTGCAATTCCACATATACCCATGGCATCATGTGACATCAGTGACAAAAAAAATCTCTTTTGAGTCATTTTCCAAAAACTTGTGGGAAAAAAAAAAAAAAAAAAAAAAAAAAAAAAAGAAAATTCCATGGACTCAACATGCCTCCAAGTAAACTAGCTTAGGGTGTCTACTTTCCGAAAAGGGGCCGTTTGCACAGCCCTGGCATTTTAGAACCCCAAGAAATGTGATAGGCAGAAAATTTCTGTCTTGTTTCATCTATATAACCCCCCCCCCCCCCCCAAAAAAAAAAAAGAAACCCAGTGGTGAAGCCTCTCCTAAAGCCCTTGCACCTAGAATTTGCCAGGTCCCATGCTGAAAAGAAAATTACTGGGACTCCATACTTTGGAGTGATGAGACCACGATAAATGTTTTTGGAACTGATGGTTTCAAAACTGTACGACGTCGCAAAGGTGAGGAGTACAAGGAAAAATGCATGGTGCCTACAGTGAAACATGGTGGCGGCAGTGTCCTTCTGTGGGGCTGCATGAGTGCTGCTGGTGTCAGGGAGCTGCATTTCATTGATGGTATCATGAATTCACAGATGTACTTCTCTATATTGAAAGACGATACTTCCATCACTCCGTGCCTTTGGTCGTCGTGCAATTTTTCCAACATATCAATGATCCAAAACACACAACTAAGGCCACGGTTACATTTCTGAAGAAGAACCAGGTGAAAGTGATTCAGGGGCCAAGTATGTCTACTGATCTGAACCCAATTGAACACCAGTGGGGAATTCTGAAGAGACCAGTTGAGCATCACTCTCCATCCAGCATCCAGGCTCTAAAAGAGGTCATTCTTGAAGAATGGAAAAAGATCGGTGTTGCCATATGCTGCCAACTTGTTCATTCCATGCCTAGAAGACTTGGTGCTGTCCTTACAAATCACGGAGGTCATACAATATACTAGATCAGGGGTATTGAATTAAAATTCACAGAGATCCAGGCAGTACAATTTTCATTCATCAGAGGTCCAAATCTCATGTAGGCCCCTGTGGAGCATTTTTGTGTGCACCAAACTGTGTGTTGCTGCGGTGCAATTTTGAAAAGAAGGATCGGAGACTTCTGTGTTTCTCGTGGGTAGTGTAGCCCATTGAAATGAATGGGCTGACCTACCCACAACGTGTGCACCAAATGCACACATACAGATCTGAGCTAGTTCCTAAATCATGGTCCTCAACTTCAACTGCACATCACAGTCCCCCTCCTCATTCACAGCCAGATCCCCTCATGATGAGTGTCCTCCAGCTCCACTTTTACATCACCCCCCCCCCCTTTCAACAGTACTGTCCTCTGCTCCCTTCACTGCAGAGTACTCCACCCCTTTTTACATCATCCCCCCACATTACTGTCCTCAGCCCAAGCACAACCCACCCCCCCTGCATTACTGTCCTCAGCCGCCCCCGCATTACTGCCTTCAGCTCGCCGCCCCCCCCCCACATTACAATTCTTAGCCCCCCCACACTGCAGTCCTTAGCCCCCCACATTACGGTCCTCAGCACCCCCCACCATTTCAATTCTCAGCTCCTCCTCTTTAATTTTAATGTCCCCGCCCCCCCCCCCCCCCCACACTACTGTCCTCAGTATCCAAATATTACGTTTCTAAACCCCCTACATTCAGTCCTCGCCTCCTTCTCACATCAGAGCCATTCACTCTAATGTCTTTAGCCCCTTTAACTTTGCCCCCACCTGCATACACTCCTACCTTACACAGACAGTGACTGATTGCAAAAACTGCCCTTCATCCTAGCAACCAATCACCTGCTTTTTAACCTCGGGCAGCTCCCACCCTACATCCATAACTGTCCTATCCCCCGCTGTCAGCTCTGAGGATGACAGTGAGACGGCTAGGGGAAGAAAAAGCTCCTACATGGCAGGATCGAATGGGTCCGGATGGGATAGTGACTTGGTCCGCATCCCGGACCCCGGTCTGCCATTTAGCGATGCCTGTACTAGATGTAGTAGTTTTTGCATCAATTTGAGTAAAATTGAAGATTTTGTAATCCAAGTTATAGTAACCTTACTTTCATGTAATGAGCTGAACAAATGTTTCTATGAAACTCAGTTTTGTCAATTTTGGAAATTGTTCTTGTGTTCATTGAGATAGATTAAAATCTTGTCAAAAGTGGTGTACTCATTTATGCTGAGCACTGTATTTACTAAATTTTCTGCACAGATTTTGGGTTGTGTGCTTTGGACACTGTTCTACTTGATTTACCCTGCGATTGGTTCTGATTATTTATTTTTAGGGTATGCTTATGTTTACTAGGTATATTCACTGCATTACAGCAATGTACTATATGAGGAATGGATTTTTGAGCTTTATTATTTTGATATGTGTGGGGTAATTAAGCATGGCAGCTGTTATTTAATATTATTGTTGGTTAATATTACATATACTATTTTTTTAGATAACTGAGAGGAGGCATTATTACCTGAAACATTTCTAAGAAAAGCCACAAAAAGCAAAGAAATTGCAGAAAAAAAACAAAACAAAAAGTGAGCGCCAAGAAAAAAAATCATGAAAAAGAAGCTAGCACAAAATGGTGAACCCACTCCATATCACAATAAAAATAAAAAGGTGCTGTGCT